AATCACTAGAAAAGTGCCGCTGCCAAACTATGCATTTGAAAGATTAACCAATAGGGCCGACAGCGCATTATGCCGTGCTAAGAAAGAACGCCGTATGAACATTCGAGAGTTGCCAAATTTCCCTCGATAAAATATAACAAAAAGCGTGTGAGTATATACACAAACTTTACATTTTTTTACCCGGAACCTGGCTCCTACTTACAACATTCTTAAAATGTTTCAAACCTCAGTATCACTGGCTGCTAGATTTACTGGGTATCATCATGCAAAATATTCAGGAATCAAGTCACCACTAACATTCATTTTTATCCGCGTGCGTGCATAGAAAAAATAAAATTGCTGATTTAACAATTTTGTAGTTACAAAAAGTTTCACATGTTTCAATGTATATTACACACACAAAAAAAAAAAATAATGCTAATATAACCACCCAAGTCGTTGAATTAGCTGTCCATTTTTGTAACTTGTACTTTTGAAACATGTTGGACATACTTTTTAACAATTTAATTGTTAAATCAGCAATCCATTTTTCCGTGCGTATGTGTGCAGGTTTTTTGTGAACATTACTCAAAATTAAATACCAATGTACAGATTGGAATAAAAATTGCTACAAATCGCGAAAAACAGATGTAGCAGTACAAGATATTACGGAATACGGAGGAAAAAATGGAATCGATTAGTTCCGACCGGGAACAGCCCTGGTCGAGTCAGGTTATCATGACATGTGCGGACAGCCAGCTCACAGTGGAAAGAGTCGGTGGAAAAGATCAAACATGATCTAGAACCTTTATTTTCGTCATCACAAAACGCAGAATTTTACAGGTAGCCTCTTTGGTTTCCTTGTAAAATTTAATGCAAAAAGCACCCCTTTAGAGCTAGCATGTGACGATACGATCACAAAAAATTTGAATTTGAGTAAAATAATTCAGGTCCGATTTATCCCGAAGGCTCGTTCCACTGTGGGCCGGCGCGAAACATGCGATTCCAAGCTTTTCACCTGCCTTTTTCATTCCCAGTTTACATCAATTCGCCGGACAGCCATATGCTTTTAATCTACAGCCCCCTCCCCCCCCTTTCCCCGTCCTGTCGACGGAGGCATTTGTCCCCCGCGGCGGATCTGTCGTGAATTTAATACCTCGTTATTAATTTCCATTCTGCTCAAATTATTGGAGCAACTGCTCAAAGGGCTCGAAAAAGGATGGGAAAAAAATAAAAGCCGTCGACAATTTGAGCGGTTCCAGATTGGAATAGCCAGTCGCGTTGCAGTACCTGTTTGTCATCATTGCCAGGTTTTATATAGATTAATTCCATTTTTATTTAAAAAAATTTAATAAAATAAAAAAATGAATAAATGTTTGTAGTAGTACACACAATTTCACAAATTGATTGCGGTAGACGCACGAATCATATAGTCAATTAGCTGGGATTTTTTGGTTAACGTGCGTTAAAAAATCATCACAAAGCTGAAAATCTCAATGCAGAGGAGGAAAGCTCATATGAGCACAATTTTCCCTTAAAAAGATACGCTGTTTGGTGCAAGACTGGTTACGAACATTCCTGACAGTTGCCTGCAGTCGCCTTCCTGAATGGTCGTTACTTGTGTTGCACCAAACAGCGTATCTCTTTGAGGGAAAATATGCTGCTTTTTGAAACACGTTGGCTCAAAAATTCCAACTGACTGTACATAGAATTTAGGACACATTTATAGGTAAATTTTTACGGTCAAACAGCGCATAATTTTTTAATGAAATTGAAATAATAATATCGCAGCGAACAACAAACCGGTTTAACTCAAGGGTAGATACCTGTCGTATTTTGCTTCTTGCTCAACAAACGCAGCAGTTTGGTTTTGAATCTGCTAGATGTTAAATTGAAAAATTAGGAACATGATACAATTTGTTGCCAATGGGATTAATCAAACATTTTCTCGGAAAGAATCTCGTTTTGGTCATACACCGGTTTGTATTGTCCATTATATTCAATTGCAAAACTTCGGCGTATAAGCCTGGAATGGAAACCTGGAAACCGCCGTGCGTGGAAACCTGGTCACATCCATTAAATCTTCATAGAATTTAATTACGCTTGCTAGTCCGGGAACCGGTAAAAAACTGGCACGTGGAATAGAAACATTTTGGTCTCATAGATATAAAAGAAAGTTCCTTGAACGTTGACATGGAGACTAAACAGAAATTATGTTTTTCATGAAAAAATTTCAAAAGAGGAACACGAAACTTTCTCGATGACCTGAATGAGGAAGTCGTGTATGGCGCTCAGTCTGAATATGAAGGTAGATTCATAGAGATTTTGAAAAAAGAAAAAAAGAGCTGTTTTTCTAGTTTTACATCAGGCACTGACGTATTCTGCCCTTTGAAGAGTACTCTTTGAAAAGGTCCCCGGCATATGATTTAATGCAATGAAATTGAAATTTTCTACCATGAAATTGTAATATTTTTACATCATACTGTGTATACATGCTAATTTTAAACGATCGATAAAATGAGTTCTAGAAACTGAGTTCGAAATGAGCTCCAAGAAAGGTAAGCAACATGCAATGCCGAGAAAAAAATTGCGTCTCATTTAAATTTTAGCGAGTTGCATTTCAATCAGAGAAGACCCCTCCATTATAGAATAGACAGTATGCACAATACTCCTATACAATAGTGATAATTACACAGTGTAACTGTTTCAAATTCACTTTATTCCAATACATTTGCCTTGGTTTACGGCTTCGTGCAGGTCAATAACAATAATGTATATGATATAACAGCAATAATATACAACTAAATACAGTCAGATTTATGGATTAGTTAGTTTTAACAAATTAGTGATCAAATTAGTGGGGCAATGGGTTCATCCATAAATTTTTCCAGAGAATATCCGGGGCAATCCAATAGACCCTTTTCAGAATTTTATCGAATTTTGTGGGGCCCTCATTTTTTAAGACAAGTTGGAGGACCTGGGGAGATAGTTTATTTGACTTTATTGCAACCTATGTTACTCTAGTTAAAACGGTGTAATTAATAAAGGTATTCTGTTAGAATCTACTCATAAGTAGAGTACCAGTACCTATATACGGTAGAGTATTGCCATCTCTGCGCCGCTCTCTGATTGGTTCATCAGTTTTAGGCTATCATGGAGCTCCAAAGTTGATCCAATGTAAACAAATCCGACCCAGAGGAACACGTATTATCGGCTGAGAAATAAATGATAATCCCAATCAAAGGTTAATTTTCGGCAAAAATATCTGTCAAAGCTTGATCCGAGCTCAATTCAGAAGTTCTTCATAAAAAAAAAAATCCACTACATCCAAAATTACGTCTAGAACTTTGTAGAACTTTGTCGCCATCTTGTTTGTATACATTGAGCCCAACTAGGAGCGGAGGGGCTGGGTTTGTTTACATCGGGCCAACTTGGGGGCTCCATGATAGCCAGGGTGTCTACTAAAAGAGGCTGGTCAGAAAAAAGTACTTTAAAACAGTACTTTTTCAGTACATTCTCGAGAAATTCAGTATCTCCTCCAACAGAAAAATTCCGTACTTTTTCAGTACAGCTCCATTTGACGAAATCAGAAAAATTTCAAAAATTTGAAATTGTGACAAGAATGAAACAAAATTTAAAAAAAAATCCGGACCTTTTTACGGAATTCCCGCTTTTTCAGTACTTCCGGACCGCCCTTAAAAAATCAGTACTATTTCCGGAAATTCCGGACTTGTAGACACCCTGATAGCCGACCAATCAGAGAGCGGCACACTTTTTCCGTAGTAAAATAATCGAGATAGCAATACCCTCCTGTATACAGGTATTCTATTCATAAGAGCCTAAAAAACCCCCACGAAATCAACGGGAATCCTGGATTAAAATGGAAGTAAATCCACGGGAAAAGGCAACGCCGATTCTTGGACAGCGAGCGCGATTTTGCATAATTAATGAGACCGAGGCAACTCTTTGGAGCGGGGACCGAAGCTCGGGCCACCCACGGCCAGGATTTTAATCGTTGAGGCGCAATGTTGCTGTCGCATTAACACAGCACTAATTGGTTCCCGTTTTTACATTACACGCAGAGCTTGCCGGATAACATACACGCTCCTGGCTCAGACATATTCCCCGAATCCGAATCCGCCTTCCGGTCGGACAAGGCTTTTTAATCATAAATGCTCATCGCCCCGCGTTTTTGATCTCCGATTCGAAAATTACTCTTTTCACCCGACCTGAATCCTCGTTCCTTTTGCTGCGTCGTCGAGAATTGCTCAATTTTGACCTAGAGTCGGAACTAATTAGAATTTGCTTCGAAATCAGGGTTTCCAACGACCGGAAACACCAGAAGAACCGGGAAATGTCAGGGAATTTTTTTTTTTTTTTTTGGTGTCAGGGAAATCAGGGAAAATGTCAGGGAATCCGCCAAAATTCGGCTTGTCAGGGAATTTAATTTTGCAAGCAATTTTTGTGTTAGGGAATTTTGAATTTTTCCCTGTTTTTTTAGTTGTTTTTTTCAGGGATTTCAGGGAAATGTCAGGGAAGTTTTTTTTGAAAATTGCTAGATACCCTTCTTTTCACGTGACCTGAATCCCTGTTCCTCTCGTTGCGCCGTCGAGAATTGCTCAACTTTGCCCTAGAATCGGAACTAATCAGAGGTTGCTTGGAATCAGGGTGTCTAGCAACCGGGAAATCCGGGAGAACCGGGAAGTTTTTTTGGTGTCAGGAAAATAAGGGAAAACGTCAAGGAATCCGTCAAAATTTGGCATGTCAGGGAATTATATTTTGCAGGCAATTTTTGTGTCACGGAGACGTCATGGAAATAAAAAACACGGATTTTTTTGAAAATGTTTCTCGAACTTCACTCTTGCGGAGATTCCTGTAAAAATTCAGCAAAAATATCTTGCATAAGTTCAGGTACCATATATTTTGCTCTATTTATTACATTTGTTTCTTAAAACGTGAAACAGTTCTTACTTCTTTCTAAATGCACAGTTTTAATAAATTCTTTCTTTTTTATTTTTCAGGTTGCCCAGAAGTTCAGAAGTCGGAACTCAGCGAATCATTAACAGATTTCGTTAGTTATTACGTCCAGTCGAGCAATAATATAATAGATTCGCGATGAAAAAAAAGAAAAATACGTTTCTGATTTTTCGCAGTAAATTTTGTGAGGTTTCCGGTTGTTAGTAGAAGAAAAAGTGTGCGAGGCAGAGAGAGAAATCAATGTAGAGGGAGATTATGGTTTGAATGGGGGAGTGTTGGAATCGGCTGATTGTGATGGGCTGCCGGCTGGTTTTACTCCAGTTCCTGATCATAACCAGATGCTGTCTCTCCGACTCCGGCTGGGATGATTTCGACGATGATCCAGGTAATCAACCTCATTTTTTCCATCTCAGTCTTTTAATCAAACTCACATTTTTCCTGATTTAATCGAATTATGTCACTGTCTTGCCAAAAAAGAGCTCATTATTAGCAAATAAAACTTTTTTCAAGAAAAAACCACATTTTCTTCAGTCTCTCTCACGCTTTGTTTTAATCGTTTTGAAGGTACCTTTTTTAAGAATACAAGTTACAGAATAGGGGGACTAAGTCATAAAACGATTAAAATGATACGTCAAGAAATGTGTAATATTTAATTTAAAACGGATTACACACATAATACGTTAATGGAAGCGACTTTAAAATTTTTTGACCTGCTCGACTTGATTTTTGTGCGAGCTCATCCAAAGAAAATCTACCTACTCATATACTCGTAATCCTTTTTATACACCAAACTTATCGAGCCGAGAAGAATTAGTTGCACTATCAAAATTAGTACAGAGAAAAATGCGTCGCAGAATTAGAGAATGAGTCAACGAAAGTAGTCGATGAAATCCGTTTAAAGCATAGAAAGAAACGTCATCGGTTATTTATGAGTTCCGGGTCGTATTTCTGCCTTCAAGACATAGCAATCTCGCCAGACTGTAGCTGTGAACACAACGGAAGCCAGAGCGCCTTTAATGTTTTGTGTAGGCAACCCGGGCATCCTCAAAGCTCGAATAGTTGTATCAAGAGGTTTGTTAACTCCTCACAATCTAATGTCATCAAGAACCTTAAGAACGGCACTGTTGTGCTACAGGAAAACGGCTTATGAGCATTTAGAAGTTGCCAAATTTCTGCGGATAGAAATTCCAATCATAAGGTAAATCATGAATCCTTGAAATTTTTAGGAACATTAAATTAAATTTTGAATAAAATTCTCGAGAAGTATAAAAAGAAAATCATTCGAGTTTTGCACAGACGAGAGTGCATTTTTCAATACGATATTTTGAACGTCCAGTCATTTTACATTTAATGTTCACTTCATGAAACTCTCACATGTTTTTTTTTAGAAAGCAATTAGGTTTTTTTTTTTTTTTACCTTCGTTTTCTACTTTTTTTGTTGATCACATGGTAATTGAAGGTATCGCTTCTGACATTGATTTATAAAATGTACCGAAACTTTTTCATTGAAAAGTGGACATCATCTTTGCCGTGCGATAGAAAAACGCTTTATCAGCATTTACAATTTACTTAATTTTCAGTGATAGAAGAAGGACTTTTTCAAGAAAATTTCAAGGAAAAATATTCGTGACTTCCCTCAAAAACAAATGTCAGTGGCGTGGCGTGAATTGCGATATATCGATTGTTATGCCATTTAAACCTATGAAAAAAGATCGATTATTAGGGTGTTCGCAGCGAACACCTTAGTAATCGATTCTTTACCATACCTTCAAATGGCGAGATATCGATAATCGATTATTCGCGCCACGCCACGTATCAACGCGGGTTTAACAGTCACTGGATAAATTCATAAGACGCTTTACCTCAGCACTTCAGAGGTTATGATCGCAATGCATTTCACTGTAGTAAGAGAACTTCGAACCAAGTCGCAGGCAAGGAAGTTGAAGTTGTGAGCCTCCGTTTGAATTAGCATTCATGAGAAAAATGTTATGAATTCGTAAGAGCCGCTTAGTCATTCAGATCGTAATGACGTTATAAACGGACTTTAAATGGCAGGTTGTAGGCTAATAAACGACAAGTTTACACCTGTAAATCACTAAAACTATTCGCCCACCCGCACGATTATGAGCTCTGACTTAATCACTCGGGAACAGTGTTGCTAGATTTTTCGGTGATTCTTGAGTGCCTCATGACACTGAACAGTTGTTACTTATTTATATCTTGAAATTTTTTAGTACTACACTTAAGAGTGCATTTTCAAGTCAGCAATTTTTGTGGAATTGGGTAAAAAAAATCGGATTCTGAGATCTGGACGAAAATTCCACCCCCTGTCTTAATGAATAAAATGCAAGCGGTGTTTTTATTTTTTATCCAAGAAAGAGCGTGAAATTACATTCAAGTTACGCTATTCCTTGCCTTCAAAAGTGCAGAATAGAATTTCCAACATCGTTTTCTCAAAATTACGGTTTATTTTAGAACTGAAAACTTCAAATCACGATTAATCCGCCTTTTTTTTTTGTTCAAAAAATGTTTGTAAACCAATGTTTCTAGGCTTTGATTTCCGTAATGTTATATGACGTGTGTTGAACACCAGTCCAACTTGACAAGAGTTCCAGCAACCAAGAAACGTTCCTCAGAAATATATTGGAAATAGTCTGATCTTAAAGAATGGATATAATAATGTGTAGTTCTTGGGATGACTTTTATTTGCTCGGAGTTTCCTACCATCGATTTTCCTGTAGAGTTGGTCGATGACACAATTTGTGATAAAACTCTAAACTAACCGCTTCAAAATTCTTGGTACCTCTGAAAAGACCCCTAACCTATTTTGTCATCTACTGTAACCACACGGGAACGAGGCTATAATCTCGTTAGTTTTTACGTTTATTCGTCTTCTGGTTTACGAAAAAGCTGTAAAACCACCAGGGTGTTTTATCGTGAGTCACGGGTTATTATGATCGTAGTATGTTAGCATGGTTTTGTTGTTCATTTAGTCTAGACAATATATTTTCCCTAAATTTCATCGAAAATGTGATCGATATCCAATCAATTATCCAACATGATGGACAGTATCAGAACTGAACAACATAACCTACCAATCACAAAAGCTCCACTACTTTTGAGTTTTTTCTGTTTCATTTTCTAGAACAATATTTCAATAGTGAGCGAGTAAGAGACCACGCACAAATAAGTTTACGATTTAGTGCGACAGAAGGGTGCCATCTTGATTATTCTAAAAATTTTCAATGGTGAATTGAAGATCACTGCTCACCTATCGTACTCTTAAAGTGAGCAAACTGATTTAGAGTGAACTCGATAATGACCTCTTGCGATACGCTTGTCAACCATGTTTGGAGTTTGTGGACGGTGGCGACACTTGTTAACCGGAATCTGGCGGTCGGCTAGATTTATACATAAATTCTAGAGGTTAACTAATGACTCAAACGTTTGCTTTCCCGTGCTGTAATTAGCTACACGCGAGCCTTAACTTTTGAGCCCTCTCGCCGTTGCTGCTACAAGTCGTCACTCTGGCCTACAACTTGATCCGGAGAAAGTTACACTTTCCGTTTATTGGACTAATGTAGCCGGAGACAATATATTTTAGACCCTCTAAAAAGTTCGGAGGTCACGGTTATTTTTCGCCAATAGCGATGATTGATGAGCAACTTGTTGAGCAAAAAATAAATAAAATTTGCCGAATATTGATTGATGAATGTAATTTAGGATCGCTAAACAATTGTTCAATTTCTTGGTCATCGAGTATCATCGCGCAAATTTGAGATTTGACTTCCAAAAGAAATATTTTGATCTTTACGTATGATTAATTTTTATTAATAGTTAATTTAATCGACTAATTTAGGTTTTTATTCGTAAATGATAATCAGTTCTTTATATACCCAAAACTGAATTCCATGTGCAATGATATTGGTATTTTTTTAATATGGGACCATCCATAAGGAACCACTCAAAACTACTCTTAACTCACTGGTGTCCAAAATGTGACTTAATTCCTCCTTGCATGTTTAATGCAGCTCAAATGTCGTAATCTTTTTCACGAAAAAGTTTTCCGCGTGTTTTATATGCGGTTCCCGGCGATCACTTTCATAGTTTTGTCATTATAACTTTAAATTTTTCATAATGAGGAACATCAGGAGAATGCGAAAAAATGGCCCCACCTCAATTTTTTACAAAATGTCACGTAACAGGCTCACACATTGTACACACAAGTGAATTACTAACTAACCCAAAGTTTAAGTTGATTTTCGTACGAAACACAATGAAAACACCAGCACAACCATGAAATAGCCGGATATTTGGATAATTTGTTCCGCTCTTTATATTCACCGAATCATCGGGTAATTTTTTCCTCGGTGCCCCCCCCCCCCCCCCCAAAAATTTGAAATATTTTCAGGTTGGCGTGAAGGCTCTTTCAACGCGGTTCACGGTACTCATATCCGAGGATCTTTTAACACCGTTCTTTGTCTACGCGGGGTAGTAACCCTTTACACTGGAGCTCGCTTAAAAATTTCATACTCAAAGAAGTCTCGTTTAAATTGGATACGAGCAGTAAATTAAATTCAGTTTTTTGCCCGGGAGGCAAATTGGCTTAAACCTGGTGGGAGCGACGAAAATGGGATTTCACAAAGCGCGGATGCGTCGCGTTGTACCCTCGGAACACCCGAATCGGTGGCGTGGCGCGAAATGCGATATATCGATTGTTATGCCATTTAAACCTATGCTAAAGAATCGACTATTAAGGTGTTCGCTGCGAACACCCTGTTTATCGATCCTTTTCCATAGGCTTAAACGGCAACACAATCGATATATCGCAAAGAACGCCACGCCACCGACCCGAATCGTGCATTTTATGATTTTTCAGTAGCTCCTAGCTATCCCGTCAAACTCTCCCTCTCTCTCTCTCTTTGCACTCGATAAAACTCGATTTGAAGCGCAGCTAATAATTTGCGTATTGATTTAAATTGCGATTTATCGATTGTTATGCCATTTAAACCTATGTTAAAGAATCGATTATTAAGGTGTTCGTTCCGGATACCCTGTTTATCGATCCTTTTCCATAGGCTTAAACGGCAACACAATCGATATATCGCGAAGCACGCCACGCCACCGACCCGAATCGTGCATTTTATGATTTTTCAGTAGCTCCTAGCTATCCCGTCAAACTCTCCCTCTCCCTCTCTCTTTGCACTCGATAAAACTCGATTTGAAGCGCAGCAAATAATTCGCGTATTGATTTAAATCTAATAATATTAGAATCGCAATTATTTACTCAACCGAGACCGGTGCGGGCTCGAATGAACTGCACATCAAACTGCGATTCTGGGGAGAGAGAGGCGACTCGACTCGTACGTGGAATCGCGCTTTTAT